GTTCCATGTGTTGTAAAGATTATGAATGTTTCACAATTGCCTAATTCGCTAACTCTTCTAGATGTTCTACATGTTCTAGATGTTCTGAATGACAGGTTTTTTGTTTTTTTTCCAGAACAAATGTTTTCCATTCGAAGCATCTGGGGAACATCAGGTTCTGTCTGCAGAGTTCTGACGGAGCAGCTTTGTGTCCATTAAGACGGGCTGTGATGAGTCGTGTTCTCATGTTGACAACGTTCTCTGAATGTTTTCTCACTTTTACAGTTTTTGTAAATTGTTCTGTTTACTTGTATTTATTTCTTGGTGCTTGTTTGTGTCTTTACGTCCGTCAACATGTTTCAGTGTCACACGTCTTATTGTTCTGCAGCCTTTGTGTTTCTGCAGTGAAGCCGTCAAACAAAGAAAGTAGGACACACACACACACACACACTCACACTCACACACTCACACACACACACACAGCTTTTGTTCATCAGCGTGTGTGTGTTTCCTGTGTTGTGTGTGAGGAAGTCGGCTTCCTTCACTTATTTTCCTGTTGATCGGCTCTTTTAAAGAATCCGTTCGTCATGTTTTCACATTTTATTCTTTAAAAATCAAAGTCTGACACAGAGAACAGAAACTTCTTTAACTCTGAACAGACGGCCACCAAACATTCTGGTTATTCACATTATTATTGATCCGCTGAGCTCAGTGTGTTGAAAACATGATTTAGATTCAAATTCTAAACATTTGAGGGATAAATAAAGTTATGTTGACATGTTCAGATGTCGATAAAGTTTCAGTGAACAAAAAGCTGTGTTTAGAAAATAAACCAATGGTCCAATGAGAACGGGCTGTGGGAGTCATGTGACCTCTGCAGCAGACACTGATCATTGTATTGATCCTTCAGCATTGATTGATTGATTGATTGATTGATTGATTGATTGATTGATTGACAAGTGTGTGATGTTTACTGATGTCACATGTTTGTTTGCATCTGTCAGGTGAAGTGTAAACAGATGACTGAAACTTCACCGCTGAACGCGTCAGGATCTCATGACATCAGACTATGATATGGTTGCCATGACAACAGCAGTGGGAGCATCACCGAGACATGAAACCAAAGAAGAAGAGACTCTTTGTTCTCACCTGAGCTGCCTGCTGCTCCAGCGATGCATTCCTCCGCTCATATCGTCCTCCTGTCTGTCTGTCTGTCTTTGTCTCCGTTCATGGACCAGCCAGTGGATCCATCAGTCGCCGCCCTGATCAGTGCTGCTTCATACAAAGAGACACAGTTACAGTCTGTTTCTGGCAGCTGGAGACCCGTCTGTCTGTCTGTGTGTCTGTCTGTGTGTCTGTCTGTGTGTCTGTCTGTCTGTCTGTCTGTGTGTCTGTCTGTCTGTCTGTCTGTGTGTCTGTCTGTCTGTCTGTCTGTGTGTCTGTCTGTCTGTGTGTCTGTCTCTGTGTCCTGGTGTGGTCCAGCAGTAACAGGATGGAGCTGCTGTTCGCCGGCAGAACAATGTGCTGAAGGAGGATGGAGGGTGGAGGTGGTGGTGGTGGTGGAGGGGGGAGGGGCCCGTCCTGGTCCCTTAAAGGGCCAGCAGCGCTCCATCAGCCCTGAGACGGGAGCGGCAGGCGGAGGTCTCACTCTGCTGCAGAAACACAGCACCACAGTGGGACCAAACTACAAAACCCAGGATCCTGAGCTGCTGCTGCCGTCAACGCACCAGCTCAATAGATATGTATGAAGTGTATAAACACAATAGTTCTGTTTATCTATGAACAGGAAGCAGATTCTTTTGCTCACATTGTTATTTATCATTTACTTTTTTTTTTTTTTAATATATTTTTTGGGCTTTTGCCTTTATTTAGCGTAGTGGAGAGAGACAGGAAAGGGGGGAGAAGAGTGAGGGGGAGACCTGCAGCAAAGGGTCGTGAGCGGGATTCGAACTCACAACCGCTGCGTTGGGGACTGTAGCCCCTGTTCATGGGTCACCCGCTCAACCAGGTGAGCTATACGGGCGCCCATTTATCATTTACTTTAATAGCGTCCATAAGAACCCAGGATGCTGAACAGATTTGACCTAAAACATCGTGTGACCCCAGAATGCTTCGACACACAGAAGCTCTGTGAGAGGACACCTCGGCTGCATACACCATCTCTGCAGGAGGAATTAAAGGGACACACACTTAAACACACTGCTGATGATGTCATCAAGGTGTAGGCTCCACTCCTGCACAGGTAACCAATAAAAGCACAGCGATCACCTGCTCAGTCTCTGCACCAAACTCCATTCACATCTCCATCGATTTAAGGAGCTGAGGCAGGACAGTTACCATGGTAACAGAGAGAGAGAGCGAGAGATAATCTTAATCCTGTTTTTGTTTTCCAGATTCTCTTTGTGTTACTGTGTGTGTGTGTGTGTGTGTGTGTGTGCGGGGGCGGAGCTTGTGTGATGACAGATTAAGGCGCCTCCTTTCTGGTTTTGGTTTCTTTCTCCAGCGTGCAGAGTTCAAACCTGCTGCTCTGAATCCAGATAAAGAATAAACTGATCAGAGACGCTAAACAAAGAGTGTTTTAAAAACTGTAGAGAACATCGACTCCGTCTGTTCAGACCGGATCGGTTTTATGTGTGAATGTAGACGTCAGACGTGAACAGGAACCTCATGTGAACATCACTTCTCTCACCAGTGTCCACAGCTCATCTTCAAGAACCATATTTCAGACTTCATCGCTGTGTGTGATGTCACTGTGACATCATCATCACGTTCGCTGTTTTCTCTTCTCGTCTGGTTCTAATTCACGTGTTTTACTTCCATCACGTATCGGTGACGATTTAGAGAAACGACTTGGATTTTTGTTCAAACTTCATCTGGAAAATCCTTTTCTGTGGACGTTGCATCAGAGGTGTAAACAAACAAACAAACAAACAAACAAACAAACAAACCCACTCCAGCTTGTTGTGCAGTTAGACTTTATTAATTAATTAGACTCTAATCATTATCACCACTCAGAACACCTGAAGCTGATGCAAACAGTCCTGTTGCCACGGTAACCAGGCTCCTCATCAGTCTGTCACACCTGCTACCATGACAACGTCCTCAGGCGAGCAGCGCCCGTCATCAGGTGTGTTGTGTTATGTGTGTAAGTTGTGTGTCAGTGCTCTCAGGATGTGGTTCTCTCTCTCCAGCTGCTGGTTTTTGTCCTGCAGGTCTCTGATTTGTTCCCTCAGAAGTTCCACCTCCTCCCTCACCGCCAGCATCAGGTGACTCTTCACCAGGTCCTGCACACACACACACACACACACACACACACACACAGTCAGAGTGTTTCTAAAGATCCGCAGTCAGATGTCTCACTGTGAGCCAGCCAGCAGGCTCAGCCAATCAGAGGCTCTGATCAGTTAATCGTTGCTCTGTCTCTTTATGGAGATCACATCAGTGAAACAGACGATCGAGGCAGATGAAGCAGACGTCACACTCACCATGGCTTGTTCTATTTTGTTGTCAATGGCGACCAGGCTGCTACTGGAGCTGCTGCAAGACACAGACAGACAGACGGTCAGCACACAGCTCTACATCTACCAGTCAGCGACCAATAAGCCCACAGCGACCCTCAGCCGGCGCTCCCAGGACCGCCAGGTGAATCTGAGCACAGCTGTAGAAGAGGCTCCGCCCCTGCACCTGGTTTCCATGGTTACCTGCGGCAGAACAACAGCAGTGACGTCATGGTAGCCTCGGAGCCCCGCCCAGGGACTGACCAATGAGGGTGAGGGGCGGCAGCAAGCGCAGGTCGTGGTTGGTTGGTGGGTCTGGGTCGGGCCTCTGTGATTGGCTGAGCTCTGGAGGGCGGGGTCAGTGACCTCTGGGCCGTCGCTGTGGGCCAGGACTCCCGCACACCTGAGAAGTGACCTCTGACCTTTCTATGATCCCGCAACACCACAGGTGTCTCTGGTTGCTTAGCCACAAGCTGCCGTGTCTTGAGAGGGAGGGGCGGGGTCGATGGGGGGCGTCGCTGAGGATGGGGGGCGGAGTCAGAGACCTGCTCCCCTGAGATCATCTTCTTTACACTGGCGAACATCTTCGGCCAATCAGATCACCGTCAGACAGATCGACCAGTCAGGACTCCATCAGTCCACCGTCTGCCAATCAGGTCAGTTGGTGTTCCTCGTTAAGCTCCACACTGTTGGTTGTTCTTCGTTTTACAAACAGTGAATTCTTTTCCAGCCAGCACTTCTGTGATTGGCTGGTTGTCTGGAAGCTTGGAGAGCCTCGTCCAATCAGGAGCAGCTGTCTCTGGACGTCCAGATGTTGTCTTCAGACTGAAACTGAGAGTTTCTTCTGGACGACTGACAGATTTCAGGTTTTCATGTCGAGCTCTCGCCCACTCACTCTGTCTGCTCTCTGAGTGGCTGCCGCCTCATTCCAGCTGCAGCCCACTCAGTGTCGGCCAATAGGAGGGCTGCGCTGACATTCTCCTCCCACCCACTCACACACAGAGCCTCATTCATTCACTCTGAGCTGATCTACTGCAGCAGGACGAACTTCATCCTGAACACCTGCACACACCTGCATGACATCACCACCTGTCTGAGCCAATCAACAGTGACTGGCTGAGATTCTGGATAATAGATCTGCTGTAACACAAAACAGTGTCACACACACACACACACACACACACACACACACACTAATATACATCTCTGACAATCAGCTGACAATGATGAGGTGTGTGTGTGTGTGTGTTACTGTGTGTGTGTGTGTGTGTGTGTTACTGTGTGTGTGTG